CCTTAGGAGAGCTTTACTGAAGTAGAATAACTGGATCCCACACTATGGCCTCCTTAATACAGATATAAAGTCAAGTCTGGCCGGGTGCGGTGGCTCACGCCTGTAATCCCAGCACTTTGGGAGGCTGAGGCGAGTGGATCACGAGGTCAGGAGTTCAAGACCAGCCTGGCCAAGATGGTGAAACCCTGTCTCTAATAAAAACTATAAAAATTAGCCAGGCACAGTGACAGGCACCTGTAATCCCAGCTACTCAGGAGGCTGAGGCAGGAGAATCACTTGAACCCAGGTGGTAGAGGTTGCAGTGAACCGAGATTGCACCATTGCATTCCAGCCTGGTGACAGAGCGAGACTCTGTCTCCAAAAATAAAAATAATAATAATTTTTAAAAGTCAAGTCTATTTCCAAAAGAGTTGTACCACCAACTTTCACCAGCTATTTCTAGGTACTTTCAATAGAATTAAAAAAAAAAAATTGTAGATTTGATCATAGACATTGGTTTCTTGTCAAAATTTACAGTTTAAGAAAATCTTAAACTATAGGTTTGAGAAGCACTAGCATTTCCTCTTTTGTGAATCGATGCTTTAACTTTCTTTTGCCTAGCAAAAAAGTTAAATTGCAAGTAAATGAGATTTAAAAATTTTAAATTGCAAGGTGCAACCAGATGTAAGAGGCATTTCCCGCCTCCCTGTTCTAAACTGCTTTTTCTGCTCTTCTAGGTCTACGAGGCCCTCCTCCCCCAGTTCGCCAAACTTGAGCAGAGAATCTTGTCTCAGACCCAGGGGCCTCCGGAGTGAACAGGCATCCATCCTTGTTGCCCCTGCCTGCCCAGATTTACTGTCCTCACTTGGAGACATGGCCTGCACAGCAGGGCTCCCTTCCCTGCTCTGAACAGCTCTTCCTGCCCATGCTGACTCCTTGGAGTGTCCGGCCTCTGCACATCTGCCTGAAGATAGATAGGCACTTGTGTCCTTGTGCCCTTGTGTTCCAGGGCAGGAAAGCACCTATCTTTTCCTATCTTTTATCCCAGGAGACAGGAGAACACTGAGACTGGGATATGTCCAATAAAAACTATGACTTTTTCCCTTGAAGAGGCAGAATTAAAGCTGATCTAGGGACTCAAATCAACAGACTAGGGGAGACAAAGCCCTCTCTCACCCCTGACCTCATCCTTTCTCTTTCTCCAACCCTGACTCTCTGCTCACTCCTCCCAAACCATGACCCACAGCCACCCCCACCCCATACCTTGATCCTACTGTCCATCCTCTCCCCCAATCCACACCCCACAGCCCCTTCCTTCCCATGCCCTGCCCTCCTCGTTTCAGCTGTCTGAGATGCCTCCCAGGGTTTCTCTTACCCACCCATGCTCACCCTCTCCATGTTGTCCTCATTTTCTCCTTTCAGCGTCTCTTCCTTCTCCCTCCTTCATCCCTCCTCCCTCCCCACACTCACCTGGCGTAATTCACCACCTCCCACCCAAACCATGTACCTGGTGGATGTGCTTCCTGTGCCCTCCCATCAGCTCTGCCCACAGATCACTGAGAGGGGCCATCTCCCAAGTGGCACAGTTTAGAACTTCTCTCCCTTTTTCTCCCTCACTCCCCATCTCTCTCTTCTTGCAGTCCACTTGTTGAATAAATTGTGTCATTTCTCTGAAAGAATTTCCCAAATTCTGGATTTCTTTTTTATTTTGGAGTATTTCATCAGCTGAAAAGTGATTCTCACTTTGAGTTTTCATCCTGTATTTGTATCACGAGTTCCTTTTTCCTTCCTCTCAAACCTATCTGCAGGATTTTGCCATTCTGGGTGAGACGTGGTGGATCAGAGCAGTAGCTAGTGAGGAGTTGAAAGGAAGGGGCTTAGAAATTGAGTAGGACAGAGGCATCACTTCTGATGGAGATGACACCATCTTGACAGGGAGTGGTGTCTTTTGGAGGCATGGTGGATGAAAGGGGGCAAAGGAAGAAAGAGGTTCAAGATAACAGCCCATTAGATACAACAGCGAGCCCAAGATTCCGAAGAAAACAGACACCTCCCCCTATTACCACCTAGACATTACTTTTTAAAGACATTTTTCATTATTGACCAGGAGAAGAAGGCTGTCTTGGACCATGAAACAGTAAACTAACAAAACACTCCAACATGAGTTTGAAAATAAAATAATTGTGGATATAAAAGAACACCACAGATCAGAAATTCAAAAACTCAGAATAAAAATGAAAAAGCTACAAGCATATGTGGGAAGAGAACTGACTGAACTTGGGAAATAATCTGAACAAAAAGATAAATCACCACAGATATAAAGACTAAATTATAACATGTCTTAATGAAAATAGATATGGCCACAAATGCATTATGGCACATAGAAGGTAGGAGTAAGAAAAGCTATGAGAGCAAAACAAACAAAAACAATATTAAAGGAAAAGCCAAAAAGACTCAGAGATAAAATGATAGATAAAGGAAATGGTCAAAGCAAAGATGATTCAGATAAAGTTGGAATTCCTGAAGACAAAAGATAAGACAGTAGAATGGAGTTAATATTTAAAATTAAAATACTAAAATTCAAATAAACCCAAAAGAACTTTCTGAAAACCAAAGAAAACCTGAAACTGCATCTTGAAAGGGTCTATCTTGTTATGGAGAATATTGTTGCAGAATGATCAGCTCTGAGACAATCCTACCAACTATACTTTGAAGGCAAAGGAAAAAAACTAAGCTTCAAGGCTAAAAGACCTAGTCTCTTACAAAGGAAAGATCTGGTTGGCATCAGACTTCTCAACAAGAAGGGACAACCATGCAAGATAGCAATGGGGCAACCTTTTCAAGAAACTCAAAGTATGAACTAAGGATTTTGTATCGAGCCAAGTTGTCCTTTAACAATCAAGGCTATAGGAAGAAGTTTTAATTATGCAAGAGCCCTGAGAAGATTATACTCATAGCTTCTTCCTCAGGATTGTACTAAAAGACAAGCTTCATCCAACTAGGAGATGATTAGGGAAACTTGAGCAAAAGGACTGGAGATGACTGTTGAATATTTTTTTTTTTTTTTTTTTTTGAGATGGAGTCTTCCTCTTGTTGCCCAGGCTGGAGTGCAGTGGCGTGATCTCGGCTGACTGCAATCTGCACCTCCAGGTTCAAGCGATTCTCCTGCCCTAACCCCCTGAGTAGCTGGGATTACAGGCACCCGCCACCATGCCCAGCTAATTTTGTGTATTTTTAGTAGAGATGGAGTTTCAACATGTTGGTCAGGCTGGTCTTGAACTCCTGACCTCTGATGATCCCCCCGCCTTGGCCTCCCAAAGTGCTGGGATTACAAGTGTGAGCCACCACACCTGGCCTTGAATAACTTTAGTTGTAGATCTGAGGCCAAATGGAAGTGGGGATAAGGATGGAAGAACAGCACTAGTCCATTCTCACACCATTATAAAGATAGAACCCGGCTGGGCATGGTGACTCATTCCTATAATCCCAGCACTTTGGGAGGCTGAGGCGGGAAGATCACCTGAGGTCAGGAGTTTGAGACCAGTCTGGCCAACATGGTGAATCCCCATCTTTACTAAAAATACAAAAATTACCAGGATATGGTGGTGTGTGCCTGTAATCCCAGCTACTCGGGAGGCTGAGGCACTAGAATTGCTTGAACCCAGGGAGCAGAGGTTGCATGAGCCAAGATCATGCCACTTTGCTCCAGCCTGGGCGACTGTGTCTTAAAAAAAAAAAAAAAGCACCTGACACTGGGTAATTTATAAAGAAAAGAGGTTTGACTCACAGTTCCACATGGCCGGGGAGGCCTCAGGAAACTTATAATCATGGTAGAAGGTGAAGGGGAAGCAAAGACCTTCACACAGTAGCAAGAAAGAAAGCATGCACGCACAAGAGAGCAAGCAGGGAAAACTGTCTTATAAAACCATCAGATCTCGTGAGAACTCACTATCATGAAAACAGCATGGTGGAAACCACCCCCATGATCCAGTCACCTGCCACCAGCTCTCACCCTCAACACCTGGGGATTACAATTCAAGATGAGGTTTTGGTGGGGACCTAAGTCCTAATCATATCAAATAGCATCAAATGGTATATGCTTTGACAAGGCAGAAGTAGCAGAACAAAAAAGAAGGGAGAGAAGAAGAGGAAAGTGCAGGGAGCTACTTGTTGCATAGGCTGTAGGCGGAAGTCAAAGAATATTAAAGTTGACAAACCAAATATATGAAGTGTAAATAAGGAAAAAGGGATTTAGAGCATTAAAGGTGTACTATACTATTAAAAGTTCTAGTACAGAATACACGGTATAATCACTAGAATAAAAATGTACATCTCCATCAGTGTTCAAAGAAACAATAATAAAGGCAATAGATCACAGTGAAAAACATGCAGTAAATGTACCATCATATAGTAAATATATTAAGTCCAAGCATGTAGGTTGAATCAGTGCATGTGAAAGGACTTACCTAGTAAAAGAAAAGGAACTTCAGATTGGCTTACAAACCAACGTCTTGCTGTCTGTTATTTATAAG